AGAATATATATACACTGCACATATTTAATTACACATGCTAAATTCTCCCGTAACATCTGGTTAATTTAACCCCTACGGTGTCAAAGTGAGATGAGAATCACATAATTAAAGGAAAGCAAGAGCGTTTAAAGCGGACCTTTACCCCTTTCACTAAAAATCAGCATGCAGCTCTGCATTGCTGGGAAATCTCATCTGTAGTCTCACAAGATCTCAGGGAAAGGCATTTTCCTCCCCTGAGATGATGTGCATGGTCACATGTCCTAGTCACATATGTCAGAGTTTCAGAAAGTAAAGGGACATATATTAATCTGTCCTTAGTAAAAATGGCCACTGTGAGGAAAAGAAAAATAAGGTATACAAAGTATAAAAAGTCTGCAATTATCTAGATCTGTTTGTAGATTGCCATTACTAAAACATTTCTAATAGGGATGTTCAGATACCAGTGCCGATACTTGGCATTTTCATGAGAACTACCAGGGTGGCAGCGGCTGCAGCTGGGACCTGGCTCTGGTGCTCCACCACTGTTCTGAAATCATTAGTCTGTATTGTTTTAGAAAAACGGTCACATGATAACAAAAATGTATCAATACTTGTATCTGAGTACTTGGGGAAAAAAATGGTATTGGTGCATCACTTATATATATTTATAACAAAAAATTAAAAATCATACATTAAAACAGGGATGGAGAAATCCCAGACGCTCCTTATGCTCTTTAAAAATGACAGCTGCCTCCTAACTTTTTAATTTTTCTCTAGTCTAGTCTTGGAGCTGGAACAGTATCTGTACATGTACTTGTACCGAGTACAGTACTTGTACCGAGTACAGTACTTGGTATCTGAACATCCCTAATTTCTAAAGGTGCATTTGTTGTCATTTCAAAGATTTGGGTAAAGTTCCTCTTTAAGAACTAATAAGGAAATGTAGTTGAGCAACAGAAGTGGAATTAGTCAAGCTAATTGGTCATATCCCAAGAGGAACTCCAAAGTATACCACATTTTTAAATGAATAAAGTACCACTTTCTAAAATATATGGTAATAAAAAGAAACATGAAGAAGATGCAAGATAACTTATACACCAGGGACCACTTTGGGTTTTCCCCCCCCATCAGCAACTTTGAACCATCTCCATCTATCTTCAAGCATGAACGGCACTAAAGCTATGTTGTACAAGTCAATCACAGATCAGCAATATTGATTGCAAGATCAAAGAGGTGTTTCTGCTGAACAGTAGTAATTTAACACTACAGAAAGTCGGTTTCTAGCCGCCAAACAACATATAGGCAAAACAGGCTCTGTTACAGTGGTTGATGGTATGAAAACCTGTCTCTTACAATAGCTGTGTCTTTACAAATTTAAGAAGAGCTGCAAGAAGGGGCTTCGTACATTGACAATAGAAGGTGCATTTAAACACATTTTTATCAAGTGTATTATTTTATCACTATTGACTTGCATCAATGAATGGGAATGGTTAGTATGTGGTAGCATGAAAACCTGTATCTTACAGTACAGTAGAATAATTTATCAAAAGCTTTAAAACGGGATTCAATATACTTACAGGTAAAGCAGAACACCCATTTAAGTGTTATTTTTTTTCCTGTGCTGTATGTTTGTATTTTGTCTATGAACTACTATGCCTGTCTCTCATCAATAAGGAGCCTAGCAGGTGAGTATGTTTAGACATTTATGTATTATATTCATCCATGAAATGCCATCATTATGTACATCTTACTTTAAAAAGTTAGTAATGAGTTGAACAGAACAGTTACCATGTTTGTTCTGTTTTGCTTGCTGGATTTGGTGTAGAGACTCACTGGAGGTCTTCAGCTGCCATTGTGTTGGGCTTCTGGTGCGTCTCTACACCTAAGCAAGAACAGGCTACCTCTAACTTGGACATTTGTGTATTGTAACACACACACACACACACACACTTTTGCTATTTTTCCTCTTGCAGCCAATATGTCAAAATTGAAACATCCCCCTCCTGTTCTCTCTTTGCAGAGAAACAAACATCTTAATTAGTCAGTGTGCAAAGTCTGCCAAAAAACATGCAGGTGGAATATACTTCCATCATTATTTAACAAATCAGGAGACATAGCTAGCTAGTAAAAGATCTTCTGATCTAGAGAGTTTGTGCTCTGCTCCAACATCCCAGTATTACAGCAAAGTTTTAAAGACAGAAAATGGGAAAATGCAGGCATTGCCAATATGTGAATGACTGCAATAATGTGGATTTGCTTATTAATAGACATTACGTGGACTATAAGATCATCGGAATAGTATATTTATTAGGAATAAAACACCCATTTTGGCATAGGATTTATGACCATACTTATTGCATTCAGAATGGACACCTGTCAACCCCCATAGGCAGACATGGTGCACTATACCACTGTTATGATCCTTCCTCTGTATCCTTTGTAGCAGTAAATAACACTCATGAAGACCCTCTGGGGGGGATTTCGATTTTAGAATACTACAATGTGAAATGAGATGGATTTATAAACTGCATGCTGCTGCCCTCTCCGGACTTTAAAGAGAACGATGGAGTGAGTGAATTACACTCATCTCCATAGTTAGAGCCGACGTGCGACATTGAAATTGTCACAAATCTGCTCTATTGATTGGGAAGCGAGCGAAAACATCCCACCGATCCACTCACTTCCCCGTCATCTCCCTGCAGAGAGCAGTGATTGTCAGTCACCGCAAGGATTCTCTCCTCCCCTTTCTGATTCTCCAGCGCTGACTGGAGGGATGGACAGGGAGGGGGCAGGCATAGCTGACTCTGCCTCTAGGGAGTCACCCCATAGTTCTGCTTTAATGAGTCCAGGAATTTTAAACCCTTTCTGTAGAGAATGCCTCCCTTTGTCTATTGATTATATGTATATTGTAATATTTTGCTTGTTATGAGCTAATACTTACTGGGACCTATTTACAGTATGCAGAGTATGTTTTTTGATGGTATGTATCAGTCTTAGGTCAATACATTTCCAGTAATGCGCCGGCATTCCCTTCATGAGACACTAGGTGGTACTATGTGGGCACACTGCGGGTCCCCTTGGGGTGTATGGGGCCCATGACCCAGACTTTTCCCCATTTTGTGTCTGGAGAAGTCAGTCCACCCCTGGCCCCACCTGATTCCTTCGGATGCACCCCCCAGTGTTTGGTGGGTGGTCTGGATGTGGCCTTGGTGCATTATGGGGTATTTAAGGGTAAGAAACCCCCATTATGGCCTCTTCCTGTTTGAGAGGGAGATTTCAGCCACTACTCCAAAACAAGCAAGCAAAAGATGTTTTTATTTTTTTGCATAGGTGCTCCAGCTCAGTTATTAAAAAATATTGATGCCAAAAGGGTCATGAAATTGCAATTAGCATTTTACTAAGGAGACAACAGCAATGGTAGCCTGTAGTTTTTTCAGTGTGTGGGGATTGACCTAGTGAAGGTAGAAATGCTTGGATAATACCCTTAAAGCCCAACATGTTATGATTGGTGATTTTTTGCCAGGAAATGCTATAAAATGCTGCTTCCAGCTCTCAATCAGCAGTGCACTGCGCTGGCAGAGCTGAGTAATAGCCACACTGCTTTAGCATAGCTATCCTCGCACAGAGTTGTAGAGGAGAGGGCGTGTGCCTGACCAGGTCTATTACAGTACAGAGTGTACAGAGTGCAGCTCTGATGCCTGCTAGACGGCACATATTTAGATTCCCTGTGCAATTACTGTACCAGGAGAGTGGTAAGCTAAAAAGCAGTAAGACTGGGAGAATAGAGGTCGTTAATACAATATATAACTACATATACACTTCTATGACTGCAATTAGATTTAAGCTTTTACCACTGAAGCGGAAATATTTTATATTCATTATCATACTGCATGTAATACATTTTGCAAACATTTCAAGTAAAAAATATATTTTTTTTTTACCAGTTCATCTTTCACAGGATGCTCCTTAGGATTAATTCCCTGAGTGACCAGATACACTAGAAATGAACAAAAAAAAAAAGAAGGTTTACTTGTGATCCCTATTAAATTTCTGCCTTTAGAACCCACATTTAAGCCATACTTACCCCAAAACAAGGAGTTTAAGGTATATGCAGACACCAAATCAAGTTTTGCTTGTTCAACTGGATCCAGCTGCCAAAAAATAAAAAAAAGGATAAATAAACACAAACGGTTAGGTTAGTGAAATCAATTTTCATGAAAACACCACAGTAACAGCGCTATTAAAAGGTGCTTAGGTGGCTTTGCTCTGCAGCTCATGAAACCAGTTATTGGAATAACACAAGCATTTATTTATAAATGTTGTGACTGCCTGCACCGAAATCGGATGGTTTGCTAAGGCCTAGACTGTTACTATAACATCCCGCAGGCCAGATGTGGTTGAATGCTATATGTCAACACTGAAAAGACAGGAAATGAGCTGAGCACAAACCCGAGAGCTGGAACACACAGTCCACTTGAAGCCGTGTGCGAGCCAGAGAGACTTTACTGGCCCTGTGAGTGAATAAAGTCTGTGGGCTGCTGAAGAGAGGCTGCCTGGCACAGGGTGGAGTATGTATGCGCAAATGAATATTTGAGACACTTGTGTATAAATAGATGAAATCCAGACCATTACGGCACACTGCTCGCCTACACCGCTGAGGTAGCCATTTTATGGGCTGAGCTAATAGTCATGCCTTATGCCTCAGTAACGTCACTAGTTTCCAGGAAAATGCCGTTTAATATACGTTCTGGCTACAGCTCTCCTGCCCACACTGTGTGGTGATTCGAATTACATTAAAGACATATGCGTCTTTACTTAAAGTCAAAGCCAAGCTGAGGTCTCACAGCTTTTATCTCTTTATAATTCTGTTATTTCACGTGTAAAGGTGTTTTGCTTGGTAAAGCTTCAAAACATATTTTACCCTCATTGAAATTGCTGCCTGCATTTCTCTCCAGGGCTCTGTGTTGGCAGAGCTGAGTACCAGCCACACCCCTCAGTACAAATGCTGCAACAGGAAATGGAGGTACGGCTAAGAAAATGGATTATGTCTGACTGTATATCTAGTTCTGTGATTTCAATTGTAATTTTTCAGTTACAGAACTGTTCTATTGCTACTTGTACCTGATGGAACCATTCTTGGGTCACAGCACATCATGTGGTATAAGCAAATGACTATTAAGGGATTGATGTTCAGAGAGACATGCGCAGTTAGCGGCTCTGTCTGTACACTAATCCACCTGCTTGGCACAGATCACGTGATCAAAATGTATACAAGGGATACTCCTTTTTACATTGTAATGCAGGCATTTTTTTAATTTTCAAAGACAATTTAGAAACTATACTTATTTTTTAAGTTACAGAAATATCAAATTTATAAAAGGATTCAATTAAAGTGATCACTAAAAGTGAAGCACTGTGGCAACATTGAAAAAGTAGATTTTTGTTGACACTTCCCACCCCCCGTTAGCAGCACCTAAGTGTATAAGTAGAGTACACTTAGGTGGCAGATACTGGACTCTCCCATACAAATAGGAATGAGACGAGTAACCAGGACCCACTAAAAATAAGATTCACTCGGTACCGTCATAAAAGGCAGAATTGCAGAGTTAACCTATGACCATTCCTGTAATTCCGCTAATCAGGCATTACATAAAGTCTTTTTTTTTAATGTGTTTTCATTTTCAAACTTTTACTTTGTAAATGAATATTAGCAGTGCCACCTAGCATCCTCACACATGAAATGATATCAAACAGAGAAGATCCAACATTTTGCAGATACTTGGCAAAAAAATAACTGTATACTTTTCACCAAAGTACATTACTGCCACCATCAGGCTTAAATCTGGAATGGGACCTATCAGAGTTCTTTCCTCTATTAAAACTATAACCACATGACGCACAGAATATTCAAGGGGGAAAAAAAAAAACATACATTGCCGCAAAACACTTCCATGACTCTTCTTACTACAGCACAATCCTCAAATACTACTTGTGTTACATGAACAACTAATAATATATTAAAAGTAGAATGCCAGGGATATGGCTGACACGCAGATAAACTGCTTTACATGCCAAGGGGTTTTCAATGATGTTCAGCCCTCTTGTGATTTACACGCCTTTATGACACTACATAAACCATAAATGTGACTATTTTTTTTGATCTACTTTAAAGCAGGAACCATGGCAAAATCTGCCAGAAATGCACTCAGCTGATGCGGATGTGGTCTGACAGCACATTGCCTTTCCCGGATTGAAATCACAAGAATTTGGATGTGGTCAAGAATAAGATTTGTTTAAGCAATATAGTCTTGTCCGCGTATACATCAATTTTGGGTACAAGTTAATAGCTTTTTTGAATCTGTGTTGGGTCTTCCTAACATTTGATGTCTCAATGTATGTCTCCTGGGGTTGGTGGATGACTAGCTCCCTTCCCACTACAAACTCTCTACTGCTATGCTAACAAGCCCATCTTTCTGCCATGGAAATGTCCCCCTCCCCTCTCACTATAAGAATAGAACCATCTGATTAAGTTGGCCCTCCCTTTATATCAGCTAAGATGGGTTCCCTGCAGCGGTTTGATATAATTTGGGGGTCCATAGGCTAACTAGCCTCCTACAGCTACCTCCCCTGACAATAAGCCAGGAGACTATATTATCACTATAGCCCTGCATGCTGTGTACAATATTCACATGTATGGTTCACCCATGCTAGCATTTTCTATGTATCCAGTAATGAAAGACATGAAACGGAAAAATTCATTTTGGTTTTTACTGTGTGATATGAATGTGTCACAAAGTTAAATTGTTTTGTATGTATTTTTTGCAAAATGTAATCAAAAGCATCTTAATGAAAAAAAAGAAATGATATCAGCTCCGTCCAATTGTTTGTTTCTTTTGCTAAAACTACAGAATCCCTTCCACAACATAAGGGGGAATTGTTTTGTATTCCAAGATGAGAACTGGGAGGCTGATTAGACAAGTAAAGAAAACAGCTCTGAATTTCTGACCGGAAGAACAGGTATATTTTACAATTATTAAACAGGTACAGCAAATTATTTCAATGATATATTTAACAAAGCTACAGGGAGCAATTAAAAGAAGTTATTGTTTACATACACTTCAGATTTTGGTGTAACCCAAACCTAACACTTAACCCCAAGGGTTTTGGTAGATATACATTTACATTAAACCATTCAGGACAAAGTAATAGGGTCACCTGATCCCTTCCAATGTTGATACTTACCTTCTCTGCGCTGTCCTGTCAATCTGATTTATCTACCAGAGCCCAGTAAAATACCTGGTACTTACAAGTATGGGGGAGAAGAAAATGTCTTCAATTTCTTCCTCAATGCCGTGCTCAGTGCCCAAATGACAGGTCCAAGCACTGTCACATGGGAGTGGGGAATCCTTACCCTATTGTAAATGGGTACTTATGCAGAACTTTTTACTTGGGGCTCCGGCAAGCAAGTGTGGCAGCATGAAAGCACAGTGAAGAAATCAGCAACAGGGCTATCAAGAGAACCTGTAACTGTAAGTAAAGTAACAGGTTTGTTTTAACAGGCCGTCCAAACTCTGTCTGCATCTGGTGGTGCTCGGCACTGCCAGAGCAGCTCTCATAAGTTACTTCCAGTGTTCCTGGATGCAAATAAGTAGCAACCCCGCAATGTGCATGAGTGATTTTGCAAAGTGCAAAGCATCTGAAAAGGACCTTCAGAGACTCTTTCAATGATCCTGAGCAGCTGCAAAAGAGCTTGGCACATGTGTTGGGAATCAGATTTTACTTATATATATTTAGCGTTACAATACAATAATTTTTTTTTTGCACATTCTATCGCATTTTGGATAAAATACTGGACAACCTAAAGGACTCTGCATGGTTTAGTTTTAAAAATGGGAGTCCGATATACAAAAATAATTCATCCTAAAATGGATTTGTAAATATGACCCCTTACGTTTGGTTATGGTGTCTTCCACTCGAGCTTTTATGACTGGTCCACAACAGTTAAGAAACTGTTTTGCAATCTGTTTCATCAGTGAATACATGAGTGCAATGCAGTAAAGAAATCATCATTTATGCTGTTTGGTATTAAACACATTGAATTAAAGTGACACTAAACTCCAGAGTTAAATCTTGAAAATGCATTCAAGTACCTTAACTATTAACAAAAATGTTGTTTATTTAGTTATCTCTGGGCTGTAGATCCTCAAATCATCTCTGAATTTGTGCCGACACTGTCCTTCCTTCTGGAGGGTGGCTACTTTTGTTCCCTATGGTTCCTGTGTGTGTGTGTTGTAAAGTAATTGTAGAAATGTCACCAGCACACCAATCCTTTTAAGATAGCAAAAGCTTCATTTATTGAAGTTTTTTGTCATATGACCAAACAAGCGCTTTCGGGACCGCACAGGGTCCCTTCATCAGGCTTTAGCATTGAGGCTAAATGCCTGATGAAGGGACC